CTCCTATACCTCCTATACCTCCTATACCTCCTATACCTCCTATATCTACTATATCTACTAAATCTCCTATACCTCCTATAACTCTTATACCTCCTATACCTCTTATATCTACTATATCTCCTATATCTACTATACCTACTATATCTGCTATACATTTCCTACCTTAGAGCATAATCGAATGTCCGGGGATATTATAAAAAGACATCATATGATCTTTATAGTCTTATTACATATTAACGTCAATTTATTATTTGTCTTTTAATCACTGACATAACGGTTATATAAGTCATATAAATCTTATATTATTATACTCTAATTAAATAGTCTGTTATCAAATGAATTTATGTCAAACAAGTACATATGAATGTTTCAATACAAATAAATGAGCCATTCTTTTCTTTTCGTATAAATCTTAAATACAAGATCGATAAATAAAAAAAACGCTAGAATATGATATCCTCTAAGCTGATTTTACACATACACGTTTAATATTTATAACGTATGCTATTTATAGTATTAATTAATTTCAAATTAAATATTTTGATAATGATTTTATCCTATAAGACTGTAATTTAACAAATTAATTTTGCAGATTTCTACACTTTTCTCTTTTAAATAAAAAGCATGAAAATCTCATATAATTTAAAATGAATAAATATCTCAACGTATAATAGTCGTGCATATAATTATGTTATTAATCATAATAACTTCATTTTCTTTAAACTTGTAATGAAAAGAAAACCATTTAATTTAAAAAAAACACCTACACTTCTTTTTTGTTCTCTTTATCCAAACGACGAACACAATCGAGAAAAAATTACAAATCTTGAAGTATTTACTCTATGATATATATATATATATATCTTAATAGAACTATTAAATTCTCTATAATCGAATACATTCATACAAAATAAGAAAACAAAAAAATATGCTATTCAATTCAGTATTTTAAATCTAATCGATAAAAATTTTCATAATGTTTAACAATCAAGAGAAATTTTCAATTAAATCTAATAAAGTAAAATTTATTCAATAGTTATTTCATTTCAACTCTGTTTTTTAAATCTATAGCCATATTATTCAAATACAAGTTTTACTTTAACACAAAAAGCAAGTCGATTTTGGATACCTTTTGATGTTAAACTTTTTGAAAGTAAATCTTATTTTACTTATGAACATAATAAATAAATATTTTTATTTTTTTCAAGCTCTTACTCCCTTAGAATATTTAGAAAATTATTGTCGAGTCAGTAATCGAAGATATACGATTTATAAACGTATTTTTGATAGACATAAAGATTTTGAAGCAACATTGAATATTGAAGTAATAAACTAGAAACTTGTCTAATCATATTTTATTACTTATAAGAAACGTTTTTTTGTTGTTTAGAATCTTCCCGATGCTCTATCTGATGTATATATGGAAACAATCGATATGCGATTGATAACACAAGTCATTAATTTACTTGATTTATCATTAAATATAAGAATAACATTTGCACAATTTCGTGGTATTGCAGCATTTTCTGAACGATATTTTTTTCATATTTCAAAGTAAATTAACTATTGAATATTGGAAAAAAAATTCTAATTATTAATTTTCTTAGTCGATCAAATGATATAGATCCACAGTTGGCAAAAGATATTATGGAAATACTTGATTTTTCTTCACTAGAATGGAAATTAACTGATATTAAGATCTCACTAATACTTCGAGATATTCTTAAATTTTTATAAAAATAAATCAAGAAAATAGTTATTCTGACTATAGAGTATGAAAAACGAAATTATACAATATCATCAAAAGTTATTTAAAAAAAAGCAACCTAAAATAATCTTTATTTGGTTTTTCTTTCTTCATCTTAAATTAACTAACTGATAACATTTCTATATAAATATATACATAATGACTAATTTTTTCTTTCTTCGTATTCTATCGATTTTTATGAAATCGACACATGTCGTAATCGTAAACAATGTATTCTTTTGACATATTTAACATTACTTTTAGGGACATCAGGAATTATATTTCGAATTATAATTATTGTGAAAAATGTTTACCTTTGTTATTCTATGTCAAATAGACAATTAATTTACAGAAACTTTGTGTATATCATTTTAACAGTGTGAATTTATCTATTTAAAGAATTAATTAGTAAAAAAATAATAATAAAAACATCTGATGTAAATATTAAAAATAAATATTGATGTTATTCTATTCACATGTTTTTAATTAGAATAAAAACATGTGTAAAGAAAATTATCTTTTTTTATAGCTTATGTTTTATAATATGAAGTAAATACAGAAAAAATGACTTTTTTTTTCTTATAAAAGAAGATTTAATTGAATTTTTCTCTTTAATTCTAGACAAAAAATATGTATTATAATCGTAGAAAAATCGATATGACTTTTCTCGCCTGGTCTTGGTTTTTTTCCATGTCAAAGAAAAAAAAAAGAAGAAGACGGTATTAATAAGTGAAAAAACGTTTTTGACGGTTCTGTCTACATTGACATGTAAAAATGACTTAAAGATACAGACTAAAGAAATGATGAACTTATTATTTTCTTTTCTTTTAATAAATGAAGTGAGTTGTATAATCATTATTAGTTATGTTAAATTCTTATATTCAATTTAATATTTAATATATTTTGCAAATAATATGAATGAATTAGATAATAAAACAACAACAACAATAATATTAACTGATCATCATACTGAAGAATCAGTTTATGATGATAATAAAGATATAATATGGCCAACTGTTGTTGGTATATTTGTTGCATTAGCATTGGGATGGATGATTTGTCGATATAAATGTTCATCTAATGATCGATCTCCACATATTGTTCAATGTTGTCCAAAATCATTATGTAAAAGAATTCGATTATGCTGTATATGCATATTTAGGTATTTTACAAAAGAAATAATAATAATATTATTATTATTAATATTTCATATAGTTCATGTAGATTTAAAAATGACTCACAACAACCACAACAACAACGTTCAACTTCTGATTTACGAATGACAATTAATAGAGGAAGGTATGATTTTATTGTTGTTTAATTATTCTTATTTTCATTTTTATCTATTTTTAAGGCCATCGAACACAAGTGTAGTAGAAATTCCATTTATCGTAAATAATACAAATAATAATCCATCATTAAATACACAATCTCTTCCACAATGGCCACCACCATTTCTTTTAAATAATACTAATCAGGGACCATCACTTCCATTATCAATAACGATTCAGTCACCTATAAACTCATCTGAACCTAAACGACATCCATTACGTCGAGAATCATTATTACCCGAAGCAGAACAGAGTAATGAGAGACGTGATTCTTCTCCATGGCCATTTCAAACTACAAATATGGTTTTTCATAACCAAACAAATGAAATAAAAAAAAGTCATCTATTTTTTAATACTTAATTAATATCTATCGATACATTTATTATTGTTAAATTTTTCAAATATAAAAGTACATTGAAAAATCCATTTAATTATTTTCTTTTTACATATTATATAAAATACTAAAAGATTATAATGATTGACAATAGACATGTGAAGGCAAATCTGACATAATAAATGCCAGATTGACGAGAAAAATTTATCTTCTGGAAAAACAAAATCATGAGTTATTAATAAATTAAAATTTAAAAGTACAACTAAAAAATTCTCTCAATGCGATGTTGTTTATACTGGCAGCAAGTTTACATTAGAATTTTCAAGCCGTAAATATTTTATGAGAAGCTCTACAATATACACAAATATTACTAATTTTATAGTTGCATTTTTTGTCTTCAGTACGGACAAAATATTGAGAACATAAACTAAGGTCGAAAAATTGCCCATTTTGTAAAACAAAAAGTACAATGATAAAATTAGTGATCCTGCATAAATTGTAGAGTTTCTCATGCTGCATCTAATAACATGTTTTGATTTTTAATACAATGTATTACCGGTTTGAAATTTGCGATGAAAAACACAATCATTTAATCTGTGCTACCTGTACGAATATTATCGAAAATGTAGCATCGTAATATTAGTTGAATTTAATGAAAAGATATTTATTTTTATCTTTGAATGATAAGAGAAAGATTTTATCAGATAATGACTTGTAATTAAACAAAGAAAAGAATTTAAAAAATGTTGCATGTAATCAATTCTTTGACTATGAAATATGATCAAAAAGTGAACACATTTTTTGTTCTCTTGAGAATAACATCGATTCTCATTCATCTCCCGTGTGTGTTACAACAATTAATGTATTGAACAGAGACTTTGTTCTTTTTTTTCCTATATATTGATTATTGGTATTGAGAAAAAGATCGTGATGAATAGCAGTCATGCTTCTGGTAGAAATAGATGAATGAGGAAAAAAGAAATTTGACCGTTTTATCGTAGACTATACTCATCATACCATTTGTTCACCTTTTCTTCTTCTTCTTCTTCTTTCTCTTTGTGTTAGACAATCATTATTCTTAACAATATCAATGCGTTCACCATCTATTAATGATAAACCACAACAAACAAATATCAATAAAGTAAAAAAAACGAATTATTTCTTGTCTTTTTATTACGTATGATTTTAGTTAAGGATAAATAATTCAGTAATGGATTATTCATTAAAAGAATTACAGCAAATAGTCACTCATCAACAAGAACAAATTGAACATAATCAACAATTATTAATCTCACGTGAACAACGTCTTAAATATCTTAAACAAGAAGAAACATTACGTGCAAAACGTTTTAAACAAAATATTCAACAACAAGAAATGAAACATTTACGTTTAAGAACACTTGAAAATCAAATAAATCAATATAAAATATCAAATTCAACATTTGGTTTGTTTAAAAAAACAAAAAGATTTTCTTTTTATTTATATATAAATTTCTTTTAAGAAAATGAATTAGATATATTAAAACAAATATTTTTAAATAAAGAAGATGAATTAACCAAATCATTACATAAAATAAATGATTTAACAAAACAATGTGAACAAATAAGAAAATTAAAATTAACAGCAAATAAAGAACAATCACAAAATAGAAATGAATTAGATAAATTAAAACAAGAATTATTAGTAAAATAATTTTTTAACCTTTTAATTTTTTCTTTTTATAAGAAATAAAAAATATTTTTTAGATAAGAAATAAATTAAATGAACAACAAAATCGTCAAATAACTTATCAACGTGAAATCTATGCATCAAAACAAGCCGAATTAAATCAATTAAATTATCGAATAAATGATATTCAACAAAGTTTAATGAAAAAAAAAATATGTCAAACAATAACAACAACACCTGTTCAAACAATTTCATCATCGAATCATTTTAAAATCGCTTTAGATAATGTACAAAATACATTGAATAATATTAATATAGCTGAAATTGAAAAACGTATGGTACAATTAGCAAATTCATTTAATTCAATTAATACAAATGAAACATCGATAATACCTGAAATTAACAATGTGAATAGTCTAATGATATTTCATTTAAATTCATATTTTTATAATTTTCTTTTGTATGTATATATAGACAAACAATTCTTCTTCATCATCATCATCGATGGTTACATCTAAACAAGTACTTGCGTCTAAAAATGAAATAGCAGCAACATCTGTGATGTGTTCATCAAATACATCAGTATCATTTTCACCACTTTCAAATGAATCAATAAAAATTGAAGAACAATTATTACCACCTAATCTACGTTTAAATGATGATATACTTTCAGTTCATTTTAATAATAAAGCATCAAATGTTAAAAAACGTCATTCATTATGTGATCCATGTGATTCATTAATAAAATACTTATCACCAAATACTGAACAACAACAACCAATTCAAGTTCGAGATGATTCATTCATAAATTCATCTTTATCAAAAACAGAATCAACTATTGTTGCATATGAAAGTCTTGTAGATTTTCAAAGTAAAATTACTTGTAAGAAATCAGATGAAGGAGAAGAAGATGAAGAAGACAAAGAAGAACAATCAATAATGGAATCATTTATATCTGATACAGAATCTGAAGGTTCAGTTTCTGACGATATTGAATCAAATTTATCATTTCCAGTAACTATATTACCATCTGATACGAATCTTAAATCTTTATTAAAAACTTCAACAACACCTAAAAATACTTCTCGACGTGTTATATTTGATCCATTAACAATTCTTCTTGATGCCGCTGTTATTGGAGATCTTGAACTTGTTACAAAATCTGCAAAAGAAGTTTGTATATATAAATTTTTTTTGTTTGTTTTTATTTCTATTTTTAAATATACCTTTAGGTGAAAAATATAAGTCAACCAAATGATGAAGGTTTAACAGCTTTACATAATGCAGTATGTGCAGCAAATATTGAATGTATTAAATTTTTAGTTAAATTTGGTTGTGATATTAATTATGCTGATAATGATGGTTGGACATCTTTACATTGTGCTGCATCATGTAATCAAACATTTATAGTAGAATTTTTAATTAAACATGGAGCTTGTATATATGCAACAACGATTCGAGATAATGAAACAGCTGCTGATAAATGTGAAGAAGATGAAGAAAATTATACAGATTGTTCACAATATCTTTTAAGTAAAATTTAAAAAAATATTATTAGTTGTATTTACCTTTTTTTCCCTAGATGTACAAAATGATTTAGGTGTAATTAATGATGGATTAGTTTATGCTTTATATGATTATGAACCAGATTCATTAGTAAATGATGAACTTGAATTTAAAAATGGTGATCAATTGAAAATATTAAGACGTGGAGATGATAATGAATGTGAATGGTGGTGGGCAAAACATGAAAATACAGAAAAAGAAGGTTATATACCACGAAATTATCTTGGAGTAAGTTATTAATACATGATTTATCAATTAAAATATCTATGTATATATATTTTTTTTCTATTTCAGCTTTATCCAAGAGTACAATCTGGTACAATGTCATCGACAGATACTTAATAACTTTACTTTTTATTCTCAGGATTTGTTTATATATAAATAATAATTTCTTCAATAAATAGACTAATAAATATATTTCAGATTTTAAATTCTATAATTAATACAATTCATTATTATTATTATTATATTTTTATTGATTGGATTGTAATTGTTAGTTCATAATTAAGAACAATTATACCTATTCATAAAAATAAATAAATAAATAATTTTTTCTCGTTTTAACATTGGTATAAATATTAAGTTTTTGTTGAAGTTCTATTTTCAGTCGTTCGTCGACTAAAAGCATAATATGCAGGTTGTGATGAAGATTCATTATTAGAAAATGATCCATGATGTTCAACAACTACAGCATTCGTATTTGGTAATGGTCGTTGCGTTATATGAGAAGTGGATTGTACATTTGATCGAGTGGAAGATACAGGATAGGATTCAGGCGAAATAACTGTACGTGAAGATTGTGGTGCAACGGCATTGCTTACTTGACGACGTACTTTTAAAGGTTGTCCGTTTGGAAGATGCGGATTTTCTATTGGATATACAGTCGTATTGTTAGTCGAATGTTGTATTAACGATGGTGAAATTATAGTTTTTGCATTGATTTTATTTATCGGTGGTGATACTACTGTATTACTATTAGACCAAGCTTCATTTGAATTTTTTCGTTGTCGAGATGGAGGATGAGGTATTATCTGTACTTCATAATGTTCATTATAAGTATCTTGTGACGAAGCTGATGAAACTACTGAATCAACATCTTGAATGCTATTATCATCACTCTCAAATGACTGGCTTCTTCCAACTTTTCTAGATGTTGGTTCATCATTATAATATAGTCCTGGTGTAGGTGTACGTAATTTAACTTCTACTTTTTCATCAAAATTAACTGATTTACTATGTCCATGTGTATCTTGTTCTGTAATAGAAAGTCTTTCAGTTTTTCCTTTTCCTTTCGATCGAGAATTTTTTAATGCACTTTTTACATAAACCGGTTCAAATGATGAAGTTACGTTAACAACAGCTGATGGAGTTGTTCTCGTTTGTTTACACCCCATGTATAGAAAAGAAAGACGTAGATTAAAAACAAAATAATACTCCACGACGTCAATGCAACTAAAAAAGAATGATAGAATGAATAATATTTTCTTCGAAAGATTAATATTAATTGATTAACGAAATCAAACGAAAAGAAATAAATATTACTTCATTTATCCTATCTATCTTTTCAAATTCATTTATAAAAAGTAAAAATAATTAATAAAAATTACTTACTAGCATTTTTGTAAAGAAATATATGCTGCTGCAATTATTGTCGTTTATGTAAACTGTTATGAAATCAAATATGATTAAGCGATACCGTGGCAAGACAAAAATAAAGAGAGAATGATTTTGTTTCTTTGTTTTGGTGACGATTATAAACAACGAAAAAAAAATTGATCGATTATATGAGAATAAAATTGAAAGAAATTTCTAATAACAATCAAATCTTTTTTTTCTTCTACCGTTTTATGAAAAATAAATTAATGTTTTTTATCAACAAAAAGAGAACAGAACGAAAAAGTTGAAACGATGTGACATGTTGTTGTTCAGTAAAAGTACAATTGATAGAGTAAATTAATAGAAGAGAAAATGCTTTATAACTTCAAAGTGAAGTTTTCTACTCAAGAGCGTTGAAAACAATTTAATGGTATATACAAAGATCTAGATTTTTCTTGATATAATTGTAAGTATCTACGTTGATCTTATTAGTCATATATGATACATTAGGATGTAACTATACTTTGATCAAGAAGTGGGCGTGTACGATCATAATATTTTTGTAACACATAAAGAAATGTATCTAAAAACAAACAAAATGTAAAGTTGTTGCTTGGATGTTTACATAAAGTTCGAATCGATTTTAATTTTTACTTAAGTACAAAAAAATATTCGGTTGAGTATTTTATAATTATTTTAGATGAAGATTGATAATTATTCATATAAAAATAACTCTAATTATGAATGTCTTTGAAATTAGTAATAGAATCGCTTGTCAATTATCAAAATTTATCTATTAATATTTGATATTATTTTAGTTCGTAATAGTTATTCTACCACCAATTCGTACATTAATTCATACTTAACTGTCGCTAAACGTTCTATAATACAAGAATAACAAAAGTATGATCAAAATTTTCAAGTATTGTTGTCCTTTGATGAAGAATAACACAGATTTTTTTCTTCTAGTAAATATTTTTCCGTAGAACACTCGAGAATTAAAAAGTATGAAAAATTTATTCTTGATTTGATTTCTTGGTACCAGGATCTCATATATAGATGTAGGTCAACTCTAATTCATATAACTATTATTATAATTTCTTTCAAAGTCAGTCGTTCGACTATTAGAGATATTTAAAAATATCAATCTTCTTCATCCTATATTATTCAGAATTTTAAATAAATAAATAAAATAGTTTACGAAGTAACTTTATATCGTTTGATACGAAATCATATATAAAACAATGATTCATCATTTTCGATAGCCTCGATGAAAATATATTAGATAACAAAATAATCACTTCTTTTTTCTTTCTTTCCTTTTATTTACTAAACAACGAATGATGGATATTCAACAAACATATGCCTCATCATCTGTAACTGATAGTTATAATAATGAATCAATTCTACCTCCATCGCTTTTTTCTTTTGAATCAACAATTAATTCAAGTTCGAAACTAACTAATAATTCTTCATATGAAAAAGATAGTTTATTAGATGAACAACTTCGTTTTGAAAAACAAATAGCACATGAAAGTTCAATAAAAACACAAAATTCATTTATAACAACATATACAAGTTTACAAACAATTCTTTCACAAACGCAATTAAAATTAGCTACAATATTTCTTCAAGAAACTGAATATTTAAAATTTCGTGAACAACAACTTGAATATGAAGAACAGTCACTAACAAAACGTATGATAAAAATTGAAAATATTCAAAATGAACGAAAACAAATAGAAAATGAATTCAATAAAATAAAAGATCGTCTTGAAATGGCAGTTATTCAACTTACAAAATTTCAAAATGATGGTGTAAGATTATTTTATATTCTTTTCTTGTTTTTATTCATTCATTGATTTCATCTATTTATTTTAGGTAGAAATCTTACAAAAACTATTTAATAAATCTCATCAAATAGATGAACAATTATCTGGACTTATCTGTCAATGTGTAGCATCATTAAATCGTTCTCAAACAATAATTCATTCGAAAATCAATGAATTCTCACAAAAATCAAATCATATTCAATCTGAATTAACTAATAGACAAGTTATAATGCGAAATACCCAATTATCAATAACATTAATACTTGAATTAGTTACTACACTTAACCAATTTAATGTTCAACATTCACAGGATATTACAATGACAACGATAAATTTTGAAAAACAATATCAACAATTTATAAATACATCAGAAATGACAAAGAATAATTTGGATATTAATAAAGAAATGAATGAAATACATGTATTAGAAAAAGAAAAAATTCAATTAGAAGAAGAATTATTAGAACAAACTATATTACTTGAAAATATTCATACTATCATAGGAAAAGTAATTATTAGATAGATAGATCAAAAGAAAAATATCTATTGTTAATTTGTTTCAAATGTTATTTTCGATATATTTTTAATAAAAGATTGTTTTTTATTCATATAATGACAATGATATCTCGTGATACTATATAGAAGCGTGATCTTTTATTTTTAGAGAGAAGTTTAATTCATGGAATAAATTAATAAAAGTTCGTTTGAAAGGACACATTCTTGTAAAATAATAATTGTATATATACATACCTGTAACAAATACAATTCGTACCGAAGAAATAAAAACACTTTCTATGATTTCATTTTTTTTTAATTATTTTTGTTGAAACAAAACAATGACAAAAAAAATCATTTCATTCATTCGTCGGAATTTATAATAATGGATATTCAAAGTTTTTCTGCAACATATTGGTATATTTGGTAGGTTCTAAAAAAATATATATGAAATAGAATATGTTTCATATATATTTAGGCTCCTTGTTGTTCTTGTAATTCTAATTCTAATCTTATTAAATGGTGGGGGAATATTATTGTATCGTAAAAATCGACAAAAATTTATTAAAGAAGCAAATCAAGTTAATGATAATAATATTCCAATGCGTGCACCATCTACAATATCAACAATAAATATGAATAATAAACCTAATTATAGAAAAATGTCAATACTATCAGCTGTAACACGTAATTCTTCAGTTACAAATTCAAAAGTTTATCCAGAATTAAATACAAGAAAATCAAGGCGAATGATAAATTCACTACCAAATATAACAACAATTAATAAAGTATTAAGAACATCTCAACCAAGACCATTATCACCATTATCAGATGATATGAATGAAAAAGCTGATGAGATGGATTTATCATTAGAAGAATTTCAACGACAAGCATTAGCAGAACATAATTTCATGAGAGCTATGTATAATAAATCACCATTAAAACTTACTGAATCATTAAATATTTATGCACAGGTAAAACTAAAAATTAATTTTTTTTGTTTAAAATATTTTTATATAGTATTGGGCAGAACAATGTGCACGAACGAATATTATTAAACAATCACGACCTGAATGGCGTTTACAATGTAATGGACAATCATTAGGAGAAAATATTATTTCAATTAAATCTCTACAACCATTTGATGGTCTTAGAAAAAAAATTTATTTTTATTTGTTAATATTTATATTTGTTTTTTTTTTGTAATTTTAGGTTCCTATTTTACTTCGTTATTAATGGCGAAAGGCAATCAATCAAAAGAAGTTGACTGTATATTAAATGAAGTAAGTACTGAAGTTGGTTTTGGTCGTGCACAAACTCAACCAAATGATGATACACAACAAGTACAATGGATTGGTGTAGCTCATTATTATCCATATCGTCAATTAACTGCTGTGCAATCTTAGACAGACATAAGACACACAAAAAAGAAAGATATAAAGTCATTCGAGCGTAAAAAATAAAATAAGCAGAGAGAAGAGAGACAAAATGAGTTTATTAGTTGATGTAAATGATCATTGTGAATATAGAAGACCCGTGTGTTTTGTGTTTTGATATTATATCAATCGAAATATAGAAGTTAAAATAACGGTATGTTGATCTGATTTTATATAAAACAAATAATATATATGAGAATTTACTTTGATTGATTAGTTCTAAGTTAAATTTCTCTGGTTTTTACACTACATTGAATTCATTGCTATATACAGATGTCTAACTAGAATAACAAAAACATTATTTTATATTTATTTCTGTTATTATTCTCATTGATTAGACTATGTAGACATTTTTCTTCTGTTATAAGGTCATATGTATATGAACATACTTGTATAGCCTTCTATACTTTTGATCTATATGATAATGTAGTTAATTATAAATATTTTTTAATGATGACATACATAATGTTTCTTGTTTAATCAAGATCCCAAGTCATGTTAAGCGAATAATATAATAATTCGATGGAATACATGTATGTGGGCCACAATAGATTAGTTATTTTCCAGGCTTTTCTTGTTGTTACTTTTAATGATAACAGTTGAGATACTATCTGTCAATTGATAAATCATTAGACAAAAATAATTTATCATTTTGAAGTAATAAATATGGCACTTGTTATTTTTAATCTATCTCTTTTTCAACTTGATTGATGTCATTCTCTTGCATATAATCTAAACGAATAAAATATGATAAGAAAATAGAAATATACGTACTATTGTTAAATATACAATAAAAATGGGTTTGTAAAAAAAAATATCTTAAGAATATTTATTAATAGCGAATTGTTTTTAGTTAAATTTTCAACAAAATGCGTATTAGAGCGGTACTTGTACTTACTTTTGCATTATTCTTTGCAATATCTGCACTTATATTTCATTTTTTAGCAATGTAAGTTTATATATTAATTTAATCTACTACTAAAATGTATTAATGAATGAATATTATAGGTTTAGTAAACGATGGGTAGTAGCTGTTCCACGTAAACCTCGAGGACCTAATGATCAAATACATTATTATGGATTATGGACAAGATGTCAATATTCAAATACTTCATTTGTTATTCCAGACATATCATCTCAACCAAATATAGAAAATTTTGTTTGTCGACCAAATACTTATCTACGTTATGATAGTTCTAATCAAGATATAACTAAAAAATGTTATGAAAGTCGTCATCAATGTTCGTCAATTATTGGTGTTCATTTAGATTGTCGATGCGAATATTTATCAATTACACAAATACAACAATGTTGTACTATTCTAGCAGCTATATGTCTTTTAATTGCTATATTTGTTTTTTATCTTAAAATAATTGCGTCACCACAAAATGGTTTGTTATTATTATTGATTAGTTATATAAAGAGAATTTGTTTTGTTTTGCTCTATTTAGCAATTGCAGCACGCATCTTGATTTTTACACCTATGATACTTCTTAGTTTAGCATTAGTATTAATGTTTACAACAATAATACTTTTAGGTGCTTATTTGAGACGTAATGAATACGAAGATTATGATATCAAACTACCAAAAGAAATTCTTCATCGATTACCTATGCAACCAGAATCATTTAATCTATATCGACTTAAGACTTTTTTGAGAACTCAAGAAGGTATTAATTTGAATGTTTTTTTCTATCAATTAAAAGATTTGAGAAAAATATCATTTTTAATTTTATAGATCTTAGTCTACGTCGTCAAGCAATTTCAGTATTTAAATCAATTCATAAAGAACGTTTCTACGCTCGTATTGACTGGTCTGCCGGTGCAGAAATTATTGCTATCATATTAACATTTATTACACATATATTAAGTGTTTTTCTAGCTCTAAAACAAGTTCAGTAATATTTAATTAATATATTTGAATATAAACTTCCATCATATATAATTTATAATTGATTATTATTTATTTCATTATTTGTCATGTCTTGTTTTTTATATTATGCTTTTGCTTAATTCCTTTTTTCTTTTTGTTTGTTAATGTGCGATAATAATAAACAATTATTTATGGTTACCATCCAATTATCCCTTTTATGTTGTCTGTTTGTTATTTTAGAGTATAAAAACATTTTTGATTCTTTCTCAATTGCTGTTGCTTTTTGTTTTCTCTTTAGTGTTTATGCTATGCTTGGCTTGTGTTTTTTTTGAGAGAAAAAGATAACAAACCGTTAGTAAATGGGGTTGTATAGCACAACGTCTGAAGATGAGAATTTTCTTTTCTCTCTCTCTCATTTAATCGTTCTTTTTTCTGGGCAATCAATCTACCATCCGATTTCCTCTTGTTTCTTTTTCTTTCCTTTTATGATTTTTCTTTTTCTTTCACCGATCATCGACCTATACGTGAATGTCGATGTGTATATGGTCCTGTACGTAGACATATATAACAGTATATCTGCACTTCTAATGGTTTGTATTGTGGTCGTTCGTTCATAACTGTATCTATTATTTCTCTTTTTCATACTTGTGTGTGTGTGTGTGTGTGTGTGTACGTTCTTGCCCGTGAACTCGAACGGACACATAAAGACGGGTAAGTAATAGTATAAAGTTAATAATGCATTGACGACAGACGCATATCGTCTCGTCGTTCTTTCTCCTCTTATTCGTATTGATTATTATCAATATGATACGTTGATTAATGAAAAAAAGAATCTCAAAATAATAGATTTTATTTTGTATCAATTATTTATTCGTTAAATAGAATCAAGCAAAAGAGAAGTATTAATGAAGTTATAATTGAGGACAATGACAAGATATACTGATCTATAATAGATATATTTATTATGGGAGTCATTTCAGTGATGACAACTATATATATAGATATATAAATAACTATCAATTGAAATATGAGAATAGTAATATAATATATATACAATAAAAGTTATGCAATTTATTTTTCTAGATTGTTTTATTATTTATTTGTCGATTATTAAAATAGATCATGCAAATTCGTGGTGTTATGGTTGTGTCAATTGCCCTATTTTTGGGTATTGCTGCATTGATTCTTCATTTGTTAGCTATGTAAGTTAATATAAATATATTTTATTCTAATTAAATATATTTTTTTCAAGGTGTTCACCACGCTGGAAAATAACTAAACGAGATCGTGAACCAACAATGGCACCAGTTAGTTATGGTCTTTGGGAACGTTGTGAATATACAAATTTAACAATAATGAAACAAGGCGTTGCACTTGGTGTTCGACCAAACGTTCGAATCTGTCGACCAAATCGTTATATGAGATATTCACCAGAAGATTTCGAAAAATGTTATTATATTCGTCGTAATTGTCCAGTTGTTGAAAAATCAGAATTACCTAAAGAATGTTCATGTCGATATTTACCATCAGCAAGAGCTTTACAATGGTTAACCATCTTATCTGCAGTTTTTCTTGTTTTTGGTTTACTTTTACTCTATTTAAAAACAATTACATCACCACAAAATGGTTTGAATTTTGTTTTTATGTATTAAATATTAATAAATTTTATATTTTAGAAAGTGCAAACATGGTACTTAGTTTTGGTCCATTCGTTTGTTTTATTTTAGTATTACTTTTAATGATTACAACATTAATTGTTGTTGGTGCTTGTAAGTGATTTTACCAAATGAAAAATAGTGTTTTTATTTTTTTTTTTATATATATAGATCTTCGACGAGATACGTATGAAGATTATACATTTCCATTAACAACTGTATCAAATAATACACAACATTTACAAGGTTTCGATTTACATAGTCTTCGAAATTATGCTAAATTTCACCGTAAAAAAAATAAAAATTCAACTGTTTTTTCTTTTTTTTCTATTAAGAAATTTCATTTTAGAATCAACATTTTCTAATGATCAATTTGCTGCTGCTAAAAATGAATTATTTCTAGATGCTAATACACATTATCATACAAATATTGGATGGGCCACTGGTTTTGAAATAATTGCAACGGTATTAATATTTCTTGTTACTGCTGTTACATTTTTACTTGGAACAATATCAAGATCAGAAAATAATTAGAAAAAAACTTTCATCATATCGTATTATAATGTCTTCATATTGAAGAACATCGACTATTGTTCAACATATTTTATTTCTTTTCTTTATAGTCACTGTGTGCTATCTATAATACGAGCAAAAAAAGCGTTTTGTTTTTCTGTACTTCTATAACATAGAGTTATCATCTTATCATATTACTGGCTTTTAGCTTTTTTTTTTACTTGAACGCGCTTATTCAAATTTGTGTGTGGTAGAGTTTTGAAAAAAAAAAGATTTTGATTTATAAATATAAATAAATTCTGTTTTCTTAGTATAAGATGATCTTAAATAGATATAGAAAGCAGATAAATGCGGCATAAGATCAATAAAATCTTAAGATGGTTGCTATAATTGAAGAGGATAATGAGTAAAAAGTTATTACTGTAATTAGGCCCCATTATATCGTAGACAGATACGTATAGACGTTGAATATATAGAGAACAGCGATTTATTCATTCAATGTTGTGCGTATTGTGAACAAAGTATGACTGTCTGACGCTATAATCATTAGTAGAATGTATCTACAAATATTTCGATAATAGCCATTTGTTTTTCTAAATAAATGTGTTATATACAAATCGCTGATTAACAGGGGAAAAGAGGTAAATATATATTCTACTATTAGCAAAAATCAGTTTGAAACGTGTAATATACAGGTCAAGTAATATAACGTAATGGTGAATCAATCTAAACAAATATATATTGGTTATATAATTTGACAGTATTTATTGATCTATAAATAAATAACTGTATTAAGTAGTGATGTTCCATACATTCATGTTTTAATTCGATAAAATAAAGCTTTTAACTCAATAAATATAACAAAGAACGAAAAAGAATAATTCTTGGACAGTATGTTATCTTTTGATTTCAAGTTATATGTGTAAATCATTTGCAAATGCATATATCTTATTTTTAATTATAGTTGATCTCATATTCAACAGATATTTCATGTGAAGAAAAAATCGAGTACAACATACATGTACATAAAAAAAGCAACTGTTTATCACTATACTATCAAAAAGCGTGCCATGTCAATTAAAAAGATTTTGTTTCATCGTTTAATTGATTTTATATCTTGCTTTTCTTATCATATGTTTTATACTTTATAAATAACAATTTATTCATCATCTTCTATTTCAAAAGTTTTTTTTTTATAACTCATCATACATGTACTCATTTACCTACTAGAAATGCAAATACAGCAAATTATTCTTGTTTTGATTATTTTACCATTGATAACTGAAAGTTTTACTTGGTTTCATCATCAAAGACATGTAAAACGAGCAACAACAGATGAATGTTGTGTTTCATCTAAATTAAACGTTGCCGCCAAAAAAGCGAATAGTGGTCGAGATTTTTTTCGACGATTATCAACAGAAGATGATTCATATAAACTTATTACACCCACAAATATGTGTAATTTAATGCATTATTTTATTCAACAAGCATCACTTAATAATAAATCAATTTCATTTACGAAAGGTAAATTAAATAAATAGATGATAAAATTAAAAAAAAACTCTTTTGTATTTATTTAGGTATGTTTGTTATATTTGATTCAACAAATAAAATATTTGAACGATTCATGAAAGCAAAAGCTGAACAAAAAGAAGGTGATGGAGCACAACATGCAGGTTATTTTAAACGTTTAAAACATATGGGTAGTCAAGCTATTCATGCGTTAACTAAAAATGCAAAAAAATCAGAATCAAAATCAAAACTTATTGAATCGGATACATTTATTTATGTCCGTGGTGATGAAAGTTCACATTATCATGGTGAACGTGGTTCCAAAGGAGATCGTTCACGTGATTATCCTGCATATGGTATGGATATTCCTGGAGCTTGTACGTATTGAAAAAAAAACGTGAACTTTTCTATAATAGTTTATCTTATTTAGGTATGCCTAGTGGTTTTGGTCATATATTATTTGGTGAACTTCCGCAGGTTCGTAGCGATGGTAAATATACTGGTGGACGTGTTTATATAAAACCTGAATTTTTTGGTATTCGAGAATTAAAACATTTTATTAAACATACTCAATCTTATTTTTCACACGTATCAAGAAAGTATGTATGCCAATTAAAAGATATGCAAACAAAGCCTGGTTGTTCAAAAGAAGATGCTTTTCGTGAGAATACTGATAAAAAATTTTTAGACTCATGGAAAAATGTTTTAATAAAAATTCCAACTGTATGGAATGTTGATGAACAATATATGAAAAATGCAACAAAATATGGTATAGGAGAAATTTATCGACAAGTAAAAGAATTAGAAAAAGCTGGCCATGCCGAAAAAGTGAAAGAATTTCATGAAAAAATGATTAAACAATATGGAGAAGATGATATAAGTGTACGAAAAGGTCGAGAAATTATATTTACAACAACAGGATTATTAAATAGTCCACTTACATGTGAATTATTAAGTAAAATGAAAAAATGTTGATGTAATTCAAAGTTTTATTTTATATAAATAAATAAATTACAAATAGATTCTTGAGGGTGTTGGTGTAATAAAGACGTCAAACAATTTCAAGCTATTCAGAAATAGTTTATGTACACAAAAGACTAAGAAAGAAATGCATAAGATTAAAAAATAAGTAATAATTGATTTATTTTACATTCACCACGAAATGTTGATTCTCGGAAGTCAACTGAGCAAAGACACAAGAAATGTCAAAAGTCATACCTAGAAAAAAAACACATTAATTTATTGGTTTAAAAATAAAATACAATTAACCATAAGTATATCCAGTGAGGAATTCAGGTAGACGATACCATAATATCACTATTATTATTTATTCTAGCTCTTTTCTTTTATAAATAAAATTCATATATTGCCATCAAGTGTCTAAAGAGATTATAACAATTACATTCTCTCATTTATTTATTACTTAAATGTAAACAGACAATATGCGTTTAGATGAAAATATTGGTTGTACACTACCACATCATCTTTACCGTAGAAACGTTTTGAAACAATAAATTATTAGTTTCATTATTCCATTTTTATTGATACTTCAACAAAATATAACAATTGAATTAAGATCGAAATCGACATTGAACAAAAGGAAAATAATTGAAGAAGTTTGTTTCATTGATATTTGTCGATCCATAGAGAATAAGATTTTTTAATTTTGCACAATTAACATGAGCAGCATCACTTGTAAAATCTTCTGTGACGTTTGCCAACTTTTCATAATCAATATACAATTTGTTCAGACAAGGTAAACGTGTGTTTGAATCAAGAAGAAGTTCTTTCGCATAGTCGATATGAGCTTGACTCAGTTTGAGCGTCGTAAGATGAGAATATTTAATAATCGAAGATGTTTCTTCATATTCATCTGATTTATTTGACTGTTTCTTCTTTTGTTCCATTAAACTTACCACAGTCATATGTTTAAGTAATGGAAAGGCTTGAGAGATTAGAAGAAAGAAATCATGTTCAATAGAACGAAAGAAATCATGTACAACTAGGTGACGAACATGTGTGAATACACCACCAGGAAACTTAATAGTAATGTCTTGTATACGCTCCATAGTAAACGGAAGTGAATAAATATGGCATCGACCTATTGAATCATAAAGATAGTCGATATAATATCCAACATTATATCCTCTTTGGATCAACGGACATCGAACATCATCAGACGTTGGTAAAAGTTGTTCATCGGCTATCGCACAGTTGGTGACAATATCAAAAATAAATGTATGTAGATAGGGTTTTTTACTAATGATATCAATGACCAAATGATTGCCATCAATAAATGAAATTCGGTCACGAATTGTAAATGATAATGTTAGTTTTTCTAAGAATGACATTTGATGAAGAAGCGGTAGAATTAGATTATCATATTCTAATGTTGCCCAAAATAAAGTCAACGAGAAACATTTTAAATTAGATAAAGTTTCCTATAAAAAAAACATAAATAGTAAGCAATCTTAGATTGATTATTCATTTAAAATTAGATCTAAAAGCTAGACAACTATCTTCATTCTATATCGGTTCTTAGTGATTATCTATCACTGTACAAAAGAAAACTTCAGCAAGTATATTAACTTATAACATTTTGTAGCAGAATCTGCGTGCTTATTATCTTATTTCAGTAGATTATTCCTCAATATATAATTCCTTTATTCTTCTATCAAGAGTTAAAATAAAAGAACTCTTTCACTATCATTTAAAATATTACCGTATTTTTGATAATCATTGATGTATGATAAATCCTATCAACTTGTACAATAAATGTATGTAACTGCGTAAAACGTCTATCAAGTAGACAAAGACAATCATCAAAACTGCGCACTCTAACATTCAAATGAACAATATTTGATGCATAATATGTTGTGTATAGGAAATCAATAAGTGAAGTTGGTGCATACAGGAAATCATCATTCAAACCAAAATGGACATAAATTAAATTTGTAAACATTATAAAAATAGTAGTGAAGACATTCGTGGATAATTTTTGTATATGTTCAGCTACGCTGTTTTCGTTAATCGTGACAGTAAGATGTGAAATCCGATGTTTGAAGATATGAACAAATGACGATCCATCTAAATAAATAGAACAAGTAATCGATTTTATTTCTCTATATTTAAAGATTAAGAGAAGAGAAATATAAAATTGAAAATACGAGATGCCATTTCAACTGGAAGATTAATAAGATTAAGTTTATGAAGTTTATCATAATTTCCAATGGAAAGAACACGATCTATTGATAATGGATCAAGAGTAAGATACTCTATATTGTGTTTGATTCGAGGTAAAATATCAAAACAAAATCGAGTAAGTATTGAATCACTATGCTCATTTGACGATATTCTTACAAAGTCAATTGATCGTGTAAAAGTAGTGTCTCGTGCCAATCTGTCGAGTAATGTATTGACTCCTACGAGTGAGTATAATACATCCATATTATCGAGTTTCTTCAAAATGGTCAACAACATCTCGTCGCATAGTGCAAAGATATTAACAGTTGAATGGTTCATGTTCAATTATAAATGATAAGTATGACGAGTACAATCGTTTATATATATATATATATATATATCTACATTCATTCTATATCATACTACCGGACGTCATTAACAACGTGAACATTAATTAGCCTGATAGTGAATATAATGATCTTTGGCCATAGTCAAGTTTGTTCATAAAAATGAATCATAATGTTTCGTCAAGAGTAGAATCGTATTGTATTATAATTGACTGTATACTTTATATATACTATTTTATCATTATGTATAGTGACTTTTCAGACTGTTGTAAGAATATATATAATGAAGATGATTTAGCTATTCTATCAGATAGTATATAGAGGTAGTTTCCTTAAGAACAGACTGGATATCAACTGTTTTGGCGAAGAACCACACGATAGTCAATCTTTCCACATCGTGTATATTATTGAACTATCCTACAAATTCACAGTTAACAAGGACAGAATAGAGTTATATACATTTGAAACCGCACGATGAATCGGACTTTCTTTTTACTTTGAAAACGATCGATTTTGATGACAAATTTTTCTAATGTATTTTACTTCTTCATAAATTGTGTTTCGAGGAAAGATATTATGATAGGTTCAACAATCAGAAGACAAGTCATTTTTGAGTATTTGAACTAAATTTTGAGGAAAATTCGATCCATCAGAATTCTTTCATAAGTCGAAGGTGTATTTTATTTTTATTTAGTTTGACAAATCTATTTTTCATAATGTATTAATGAATAAAATGTCTTACATAAAATCTTAATTCACCAAGTTCGCTATCATATGGTTAAAGTTTAAGAAAAAAAGAATTTAATTTAATGAAAAACATTCCTGTCAGAATGTCAATCATAGCTAAAACATAGATAAGTGCGATAAACTGCATACAGTCATCTGTGTTTCGAGAAAAAAAAGCGTTCGATCAGTTAGAGAATTTTCATCGTTAGAAAAGAATTTATTAAAAACGACGTTATCGTTAATTGACATAAAAGTCTTATTTAAAAAAGAAATTAATGAAAATAAATACAAAACTAAGTGTTTTTGACATATTATTAAAGAAAATAATTATAATTAATTATTCCATTCATTCTTGTATCAATTTGTGATGTTAATGTATAAAATTATTCATTATTTAAAGAATATTTATGTTGATTAAGAATTCCTTTAGATGTTTTGACACGTACAGAACCAGTATTTGTTGGATCTCGTTGTTTAATTGAATTATTTCAGCAGCCAAGCAACAAAGAAGGTGATAATCCGGACTGAATATTTGTTGGATCTTTTTGCTCAAAAACATTACTCTTTCTGCTTTTGAGATTTCAGAATGTTAGAGTTATACCACTCTGTCCTGTTCTGGCACTTTAGAGTTACGCGTCTATCCGTTTCTTTCACTTTTCTTCTTCACATATATAATTAGAACTTCAGTTTTCATATTTTCCTATTTCAGTGATATATACTCGACAAGATCGAATACTTTCAGTAGAAGATTAGCGACGTTTGAGTCGCGTTACTTGTACATACGTATAACCCTGACGAGTACTATCTTGTAAAAGATTTAAAACACGTCAGCAAAAATTAAAACTCTGCATTTAATTAATTATTTTACAAGCACATTTAGAAAAAAATAATAATTATTATTGACAAAACGATCGGTTACTGGAAAGCAAAAGTTACAATTAACAGATCAAACTTATCTTTTCGTTAAAAGATAAGTTGATCTGTTTTTGGATGATTAAAAGAGTGCAGTACAATAGAAAGTAAAAAAAAATAACGAGTTAGGTTTTAGTCAAGGTTCTTGTTAGTGTTGTCGTTCATATCTGATGTTTGTAGTCGCAAAACAAAACAATATATGTATATGTTTTTTTTTTATTTTTTATTATGCGAAAAACTAGGATCATAAGATCCTTATAGTATGTATGAGTAAAAAAGAAAATAGCAAGATAATACGAGAAAAAATAATAAGAAATAAAGTAACCAAAGTGAAGATGAATAAAAAAGCATATGTTAGTATAAGAGATAAGCTTAAAGATGAAAGAAAAAAAAAGAAAAGATTAGAAAATCCTCGATGAGTTATGTTCTATCAGCAACCAAGACCAGAACCAAGACCAGGATGGCCAGCACCATTACCACAAGTAGTTTGATAGTCACACCAAGTAGGAGAAGGAAGATCAGCAGCACAGGCACTAGGAGTAGGATAAAGGTTATAACCAGTTGGCCCGTCGTAACGAATACAGTAATAAGTGGTACCACCATAAACACAAGTACGACAATTTTTAGCACCACCACAACAAGCACTAGGGCTGCAAGTAGGAATAGGTGTTGCTGCTGCCGTTTTTGTTGTTGTAGCTATTAATGTATAATATAAAAATATATGTATTGTTCTAAGAAAAATTCGAAAAGATTCATTTTGATCTAATGACCTGCGTAAGTATTACTCAAAAATATTACATTTTATTTCGCCTGTCACTTCTGGTTTCATAATTAGCTGTCTGATGTCTGATGAAACCAGTCGCTTTCAAACAGATGTAAGATGCACTAGTCATTTATTTAATTACTTACAATTAGTGTGTATGGCCCATGCTTCCCAACCATGTTTGCTTTGATGCTTTGGTGGATAGGTGGTGCATTTACGATACTTACATTCTCCAGTACGTGGTTTATAATCGATTGCTGTGCAATGTTTCATACTATGACAAACACTCTTACATGAACTCAGTGTTGTCGACGCTTCGTAGTGTAATCTAACACAATTTTGAGCACCAATATAAGTTTTGGATCCGATTTTGACCCAATTCGCTGCAAAACAATAAATTATCACAATTCAATAGAAATTAATAAAATTCACTATGAAAACAATGATAAACTCTCTACGAGCATCATAATTTAGATAGTAAGCAAATATTTTCAGCTCAGAATGTACTAACTAATCGTCGAGAAACTAGCCGAACATCGTGAGTTTTAAATGAAAATGATTGAGGGAAATATAAAACTTTTATAAATTCAACTGCAAACATTGAGGATGAAAGATCATTTGAGTAATTCACTGTTTTGGATGTATCGACTAATTACTATACAACAATCTAATTTCTCATCCTGATGACTATACTCGTTTTTTTATAGTGTATTCATCCTTTCATAATAAAGAATAAACTAAAACCCAGCTGGAGACAAGGAAACATTTGTTACATATGTTAATCAATTCTCTATATAGGAAATCTTACCTGAATCAACATGCTTTCGCATTGTAGCGTGAAGGCTTTCGTCATTAGCTTCATCATCAGCTGGCTGTTGCGCGACACGTCGTAAAAACATATTGTACTGCTCATCCTTGCCATAATTGTAACCATTAAGTCGTCGATGTAATTCTTGAGTGTCAGAATCATGTGTTGCAACTGATGAATGCTTTGCAACAATTGCCACGAAAGCTATAATCACTACCAAAGTAGTAAACGAATGCATTTGTATGTTGTTGTTTGTTCTTGAGTGAGGATATGAATGTATTCTTTGATTGCTGGAAAATAATTCCCTCTTTATACTATCGATGAAAAAGGTGGGCATTCTTCTGAAATGCGAGTTTGATTCTAAAGAAGAAAAATAAAATTTGTTGTTTACTAGCTAATTGATCATATGATAATTATACTAATTGTGAAACATAAAATATTCATCTATATTATGACAATAGACAATAATTACTTTGTTTACAAGCAATTAACGCATATTCCTAATGATGGTTTTAAAAATACATTGGCACTGTAATGAACAACAATCAAACTAACAATCAAATTGATAATTATGCTAATTGAAAAATATAAAATATTCATCTATTTTATGACAATAGACAATAATTACTTTGTTTACAAGCAATTAAGACGTATTCTTGATGGAATTACATGATTTAGTGCCGTATGCTTTACTGCTACTGTAAATATTTATTTATAAATTTATTTTTTTATTTATTTTTACAAATTAAAGTTTAAGATTTTTTGTTGTAGTAACTTATGTGACTACCCAGGTCAAAAGCAACGGCAACGTTAACAACCGTACACGATGTGAAAACGGTGTCGAACGACAAAAATCGTTGTTTTCTCATCATCGTAATTCAGCATTCCAGAACACGTTAAAATAGTGTGAAAAGCGGTGGTCCTTTTGGAACGCCGTATCCGATGGTCGGAATGATCGTCCTGGGTTACTATTCTTATCTTGCTTCTTTCTCTTTGAAGAAGTAAATTAAACTTGTGAATCCACTCTCCATTTTCTTTATAATTATTTTAGATATAATATGCAAGATGAGAATGATTTGATCTTCGCTCTTACATCAAAACCATCAGAAGAGTTATTCGAAGTAGTAAATATTTCTTTTTAAATAAAATAATGAATAGTACAACATATATATTTATTTAGTATCAAGAGCTGAGAAAAGAAGCACAGAGTTTGGAGGCAAAGGATGAGCACAACTCAATTAATAATAAAGAAATAAAACGGTTAGGGGTAATACATGACTTCTTGGCTTTGCTTAAGCCTCATTAAGGTAAACTAAGAAAAACATTTTGGCAAAAAAATATTTTCTCTTACTAGATGAAATCATCAAAAATTCAAAACGAGAAAATGAAGTGTAAGTTTGTTTCTCTTCGTTACTAATACAACCATATACAGCAGATGCGGATGCTTATCTCTTTCTCTTAGGTTTTTTTTATTTATGTGTGCCAAATAATCTTTTGTCGTACAGCTTGGAGATCATAGATATATTTTTATAGATACTTGTCGATATCCATAAGTGAATAATGTTGTTGTTATTTTTAGACATTAATCACAATTGATTCATTTATCATCATTGATTAATCGAACACAAGAACAAGTGTTAACAACATGGTAAACTATTTTAATGAGATAGGTTATTTATATAACTGAAAAATGTTTATTTAATTATAGGAATCCACCCCAAGCATAATACAATGAAACACGGAGTGGGCCTGAGTATAGCTGTTGATCGCATCTACAACCGCGCTCACACAACCACTACACCAAGACCCAGACCCACACATACTCACTCACACCCACACCCACACCCACACCCACACCCACACCCTTGAGTAACTTGATTACCAACTTCATAAATTGTTCCCATGAACTCGTGGCTTATTAATTCACCACCATGTATGTTCACCATTATATCAGCAGAGAGATACGGATTGGAACCATTTATTGTGATGGAACTTAATTTTAATAATATATCATGTGGATCTATTATATTTGGCATTGGTTTTCTCAAATAATGAATGTTTATTTGGTTATGTTAAATAATACAGTATTGTTCGTGTATTAAATTCGATTGTTCGTGTGCGATATTAGATTGTGCTTCATTCCTATAAATAAAAAAATATTTTTCATTTATATACAATGTTGCCGCCTCTTGTACTTTTAGCAGAAAAATTTTGCTTTTTATAATTTTTTGTCTTTTATATTTTCAGTGAAATCTCTCAATATTTTAACCGATAATTTTGTCAAAATAAGCATTTAACATAAAGTCAGATGGTAACATCCGATCAACTCTGGATTATATTACTTTCTCTTAGTCTATCGCCGCATTTTAAAAAACTCTTGTTTTTTATTTTCATTATCTTGCAATAGTGCTTATGTTAAATCTGTATTTTCATAAATGAAACATTTAGTAACTGGCAAGCGGAACTGTATGACAATAGGATTAGTGTCAGCTGAATTAAAAATACGTTTGAATCCTACTTTAAAATGTGCTGATATGTACAAGTATCTATTATCGAACTAGGATATATTGAAAGCTATTAAGCCAGATGAAAATTATACGTTTAAAAGAAATGTTTAGTAAATGTATTTATCTATGGTTAATTTTGTTTTTCGTTTTTTTGCAATAGAATATATAATATAATGCTAAAATGTCTTATTATTTTATTACGGGTGGGCATAATCTATAGTATGAAAGTAAACAAACACTTTCTGCTTTTCGAAGGGCAAAAGGTGGCAGCAATAGAAGTGAAACAAACTTACACTTTATTTTCTCGTTTTGAATTTTTGATGATTTCATCTCCTAAGAAAAAAATAGTTTTTTGTGAAAATGTTTTTCTTAGTTTACCACAATGTTGTTTCAGATGATCTAATATCACATGTATTCCCGATAGTTGTTTTATTTCTGCTTCACTGATTGAATGATGTCCGTCTTTAGACTCCAAGCTTTTTGCTTGACATTTCAGTTCTTCATACTAAATAAATATGCACATACTTTTGATTATTTTATTTAAAAAGAAATATTTACCTTTGCCATTATTTTTTGTGTTGTTAAACAAAGAAGCGTAGAAATTTCTTCGTCTGTTACTTCCGTTTTATCTAAAACTATCATATAGAAGATGGGGAATGGATTCAGTCAATAACGTTTAATTTATTCTAAAATATAACCATTCAAAAGTAAAACGATAAGTTTATTTACGTTTATATCAAGCTTTTTAAAGATATTACTAATTCATATGACTTCTTCGAAAACCGATCATTGACTGAAACTATTTTGATAAATTTTAGATGAGATAAGATTTGAAAAAAAATTTATTCCATTGTATTTTCTCTCCCTTTTCTTATCTATCGATCAGAATAAAATCAATTATCCAACGATCAAAGAAAAATAAAGATGGCGCAACACAAAATCTATCAATATGTAAGTCGAAAATTGTAATAAAATGAAAATGGTTTTTGTTAAACTGTGTAGTTTTCAGTTTGCTTTCTATACTTTTGTTGCTACAATTGAAATATATTTTGTTATGTACTTAACTGTGCATATTCTGTCGACGGTAATTTTTCGGATCCAAAACAAAATTCATGAAATACTGAAAGTAGATAAACATAAATGTGAGACATAGTATAACTATAATAGACGAACATTTAACGATATGCTATTTTATCATTCGATTATAATATTCTTGCATAAGACAATTTTCTGATGATAATCTCTTCATATTACTTTTATTTGTTCTTCACTATTCCAATCTTAAATTCCTGGATTTACTGCCGTGAACAATTCTCATAAGGCACGTTTTATTTGCATGCAAATCTTAAAAAAATTTATTAATCATTGATTAAATCAAAACATTATCATTCGAGATACAATAATTAACTTTTACAAAGAAAATATAGTATTCAATCAAATACTAAAAGTTTATTTAAAACAATAGAATAT